ATGTATATAACGCTGCATAATCCTTACATCACTAAAACCAAACTCATCGTCTCCACAGGAATCTGTAACGATAGGATTCATGTATTAGAGCAATCCAAACTTCCACACTTTATTATAAACGCTCTAATAACATCAGACAATAGACAAACCTGTGACTAAAACACACACACACACACACATACCTGTGTTTGTGCATTCAAACATCAGCAGAAAGATGAGGACAAGAAAATCAGATGCCATCATTCCCACCTTGAATTTGTATAGAAAAACGTATAAAGCAAAACAAGTAAATTAAATTCATTCGTTAGATTGTGAGTATGCCATATACAGTAACTGACAGCATTTTTTCATTTAACAATTACATCATGCATTGCATTGTACTTTATAAATAAGAATTATAAATAAAACGATAACAACTAATTCAATGAAAGTGTGCTTATAGTTGTGGTTTTAGTGAGCAACTTTGTAAACATATTTCAGTATTTTCTGTTCTAGTTTCTTATAACACAAAGACATCCCTTACCTTCTTAAAGCTCTGCCTTCTGTCACTGCCCAGAGACGACTAATGACTCATGTCACCAAAGCAAGTTAGAGAAAGGGGAAGTATGAGATCCTCAGAATTTCCTTGAAATGCAAAATCACACAATTGAGTCACACGTATTTGTACCATTTTTATGAGAGAGAAAAGTCTCAATCCAACTTCAGGCTGATCATGTCAAGGTAACAAACGACATCCGGCTGAACACTGATGCAGGCCGTCTCTTAATCATGGCAGATCTGTGTCATGCTTTTGACACTGTCGTAAAGAGACTGGAGGACTGGGTAAGTGTCGCTGGTAATGCCCTAAATTGGCCATGATCTGTGGAGTGCAACAGGGGTCGATCCCAGGACCTTTTCTGTTCAAACTCTACATGCTGCAGATAGGACTCTTTGTTACTGCGTATTAACTGACCTATCACTTTACGCAGACAACACTCAGATCTATGTCTCACTGACAGGGTTAGGAGAACTGCAGGTGGACTCACTCCTTCATTATATCCATAAGTTCAGTGAGTGGATGCAAAACAACTCTCTCCAGCAAAACTCAGATAAGATTGAAATGATTGTCTTTGTTCACCTCCAGTCTCTCTCCCTAAAACCTTCAACTCAGGTCAGACATCTAAACCTACATTTGAATAGCAACATCAAATTAATAATAGGGTGACAGTAGCTGAATTGGTAGAGCATTGACCTTTGGGCCTGAAGGTCGTGGGTTCTTGCCCACCACAAGACCTACTTCACGACTCCCACTGATGTCTGCTGTCGTTAAGTCCGTTATAGTGGAAACTAAGTATTTGGTCAATAACAAAAGTTCATCAAGACTTTTTTATATACCCTTTGTTGGTAATGACAGAGCTCAAATGTTTCCTGTAAGTCATCACAAGGTTTTCACGCACTGTTGCACACACTGTTATTTTGGCCCATTCCTCCAGGCAGGTCTCCTTTAGAGAGCAGTGATGTTTCGGGACTGTCGTGGGAAACACAGACTTTCAACTCCCTCCACAGATTTTCTATGGGGTTGAGATCTGGAAACTGGCTCGGCCACTCCAGGAACTTGAAATGCTTCTTACAAAGCCACCCTTTTGTTATGTTTGGGATCATTGTCATGCTGAACGACCCGCCAAAAGAACCCAAAAAGTTCTATTTTGGTTTCATCTGACCATATGACATTGTAACTATCCTCTTCTGGATCATCCAAAGGCTCTTTAGCAAACTTCAGACGGGCCTGGACATGTACTGGCTTAAGCAGGGGGACACGTCTGGCACTGCTGGATTTGAGTCCCTGGTGGTGTAGTGTGTTACTTTGGTTCCAAGTCTGCAGTTGTAGTTTTGGGATTTTTGCTCAGCGTTCTTGTGATCATTTTGACCCCACTGTGTGAGATCTTGAGTGGAGCACCAGTACATGGCCATAGTGGAGTTTGAAGTGCGATTGCTTGAGGTTGTGGACAGTAGTAAGTAAGTAATTAGTAATTTTATTTATATACCGCCTTTTCACTGCACATCGGAGTCTCAAAGCGGTTTACAATAATTTTTTTGGGAGTACAGGAGGCACATGCCAGACCTATTTTTTTGGGAGTACAGGCGGCACATGCCTACAACAGGCGGCACATGCCTACAACAGACCTATTGTACATATTTTTAGTGGTAGGGGAAACCTACGCAGACACGGGGAGAACATGCAAACTCCACTCAGAAAGTGGGACCGGGATTCGAACCCAGGACCTTCTTGCTGAGAGGCGAGAGTGCTATCCACTCAGCCACCGTGCCGCCTACAGGTGGCAGGTGTCTTTCATACTGATAAGGAGTTTAAACAGGTGCCATTAATACAGGTGACAAGTGGAGGACGGCGGAGCCTCTTAAAGAAGAAGTTAGAGGTCTGTGAGAGCCAGAAATCGTACTTGTTATTAGGTGACCAAATACTATTTTCAACTAACCCTAACCCATAATTTGCAAATAAATTATAGACGACGTGATTTTTCTCATTCTGTCTCGCGTAGTTGAGGAGAATTACAGGCTTCCCACATCTTTTTAAGTGGGAGTACTTGCACAATTGGTGGCTGACTTAATACTTATTTGCCTTTTTTTAAAACTTTGTTAATAGTAAGAGAATTGAAAATCCGACAGAGGGTACTTCCTGGAAGCAGGAGTAAGACGCTAAACAACCTGGGAAGCAGCTGCAAATATGTAGTCCTGCATCACTAATAAGTCACACATTCTTAACACATGTGCACGAAGGTTTTGAAAATTATCTGTTAATGTTTTCATTACAAAAATACTGTTTTTAATGCGAGAAAAAGTAATCGCGGTAAACCCGGAAGTAACCATTGACATTAGTAGAACTTTTCATGTAGTTCCAGTGCGTTCTAGTTAGTTAGCTTGCCTAGCTGTTACCCGTCTATTTATTTGGACTCCCTTGAAAAAGAGATTTTTAATCTCAATGGGATTTTTCCTGGTTAAATAAAGGTTAAATAAAATAAAATAAAACAGTCTATAGTCTAGCCCATAGACTGTCTAGCCACGTCACGGCAAAACCTTTGGGAACTAACTATTTGTTATATATACTGTATATATATGTATATATATATATATACATCATTTAAAAAAATAATGCCCATTCATTTACACATTTTAAGAATTTCTAAATGAACTAGTGCAGTTCCAGACTATCACTTTAAGAGCCCCGTGAGTCATTATTTGACTTTTTGGGCTGAGAGTGGATTTTTTAAATGTTTTTTTCTACACATTTAGTGCCACTTTATTCCCAAACTCTTGTTAACTCATTGTATTGAGAAATATTAAACAAAGCTTAATGTCAAGGCCTGGATTTAAGCACTTTGATGAGAATGACTTTATATTGTGAATATAGGCTACACACTATATATTTTTACATTTTCTCCTGGTGATGTGTTGCAAGATTTTTTCAATGAAAAAAAGTGTGTCTTGGCTCAAAAAAGGTTGAAAAACACTTTATTAGACAACTGCAGCATAGGGTCTTCAGTCTGAATTTGTGCTTAAGCTTCATTTCTGCTTTTTGAGGGACACATCTCCTTCAAAGTTGAAAAGGTTGTGGGAAATGGCCTGTGGAATGCTGTTCCACTCTTCAATGTGTTTGGACATACAAACATTATGACAAGAATAAATTCGCCCTTCCTATCTTAAAGTTGCATAGAAACATAAAAAAAAAAAACAAGACATTAAGTTAAGTGAATTTGTAAACTTCTGAATATGCCATACAACCAAAAGCAGTGAATTTGTTTTTTGTATTGCACATTATGAATATTGAGAATTATATTATTTTAAAGTCAAATAATGTCAACCATTATTCATTTTACTGTGTGCATGACATGTGATTGTGACTGTATTATGCAACTTTCAATTCTCTGTATTACATTTTAGCAGTGCAGTTTATTATAGACATATTCTCAGCCGTCTGTACTGCCATGGTTGACTAGGATGCAGTTCACCAAAGCAAGTAGCACTTTTCTGAAAATACAAAAACGAAATCACATTATGACGGGTTAGTGTGTTGAGAAGAGGCGGGTACTCGCCTTCTAACCACAGAGTCAAATGTTTGCATGTTGGTTCGGTGCGTCTCACAGGTGCTCACCCTGCGTTTATTGGGTCCTGTGCAAGTACCCGGTGCAGCCGGAGAATGGATGTATGTTGGAGCCAAAATTATAGTTTCCCACCTCTGTTATATAGTCGAACCATGAGCTCAAATAACATAGTCAAGTTTCTTGTGATGGTATTTGATTTCCGTCTGTTGCAGTCCCCTTCTTGGCCTCTGGGGGCGCACTAAGCACACTCTTCCAAAGCAAGGTTGGCGGTAAGACTCCTCTCATGTCGAGATACTATTAACTTCACCTACATCATATCTACCAAGAACAATGAGTGCACTTTGACTTACCCCAGTGACTAAAACTGAAAGTAACCCACAAGGAGGAGGACAACACGCATCCCGAGGACGAGGGACAACGCCACACTATCCTCCACACGGTGTTTCCGGACACTATTGTGCGTAAGCAGACCATGGCAGATGGCGTCTGCCTTTTGTCCATTCACTCCGTTCGTTCATGATGCTACAACACGTCACATGTCAAATTATCAGTTGCTATCCCTCTGTTGCTTTGTTTGAAGACGCATGTTTCCGCTTCGATCCTACAGCCTTAGGTAAATACTCAGTAGCTAACTTTTTATCGTATCGTTGAAGAACGTTGTAAAACTATATGCAACTTGATCGTATTCATTGCATTAGAAATAAGAATAAAGGTGTCAGCTTGCACCTTCATAAACCTGCCTGGTCTTTCTTTCTTCAAAGATCTACAGCAGGAGGTTTCTACCTCCTCCAGGAAGTGGCCTGCTTTTCAGTGTTGGGATCATTTAGATTGATTATCTGTTGTTGTTTTTGTTTTAGGTTCTGCAAAACATGTCTGCGAAAACCACTCTGAGAGAGAATAAAACATCCATTCTCAAGATTCTGTCTGCTGACTACAAGTTGATCCTGAACAAAGTTTATGAACATAACCTGATAACTGAGCGCGAGTACAAAAATCTCAAAGGCATCTACAAAGAAAATGTGGAAGGGCATATAGTTGAGTTGGTTGACACACTCATGGACAAAGGAGAAGAACGATGTGAGAGTTTCATCAGCCTTCTGGAGACAGATGAAGAGATTAAAGACACTTTCCCAAATTTGAAAACAATTCATCAGAGCCGCAAACGTGGACCCATTCAGGAGTCATGTTTTATGGACAACAAAGGTACATAAGTGGGAAGAAACCCAGTAGATGACAATTAGAAAACCTAACATTGTGTCATTGCTACAATCACAGACGATGGTGCTCCAAGAACTAAGAAGACGATCATGGTAATCCTTTACTCGTCAAAAGCTCTTCAATAAATGTAGTGTCTGATTAACTGCACATCTGATCATTGGGTTTTTGTTTAAGGATGAGCCCTATGCCATAAACAGTTTTCCCACCGGCATTTGCTTGATTATAAACAACATGAACTTTGAAGACGGATCAGTGAGACGTGGAACAGACAAAGACGCTGGTATATACACAAACAATTAAAGAATTTCAGTTAGAAAATGGGTCTAAATAACATGTTTGTGTGTTTTACAGAAAG